GACCGGTCGTGGCAGGGTATTTATATATCCCTAAAAACAGAATAGACACAAAGACAGAGTACAGATCTCAGAGTACTCGCAGTTAATGACAGCTAGTTCAAAGCCAATGACAACTAATAAAAAAAAATCAAGTTCCTAAGACTAAAATATATATATGTACAATTCCAACATCCAATGGACGTCATATCAATAGTCAGAGAAAAACACGATCTTGTTCAATGACAAAATATATAGGTATCGACAGATTGTAGTACCGTAATTGGGACCCTTTATAGCTTGCTGTTCGGTGTGAACCAAGGTTCCGTTTTGAAGACCGTACTTTGACCTAAAATTGTTTACTTTTACAAATTGTGACTTGGATGAAGAGTTGTCTCATTGGCACTCATACCAAATCTTCTTATATCTATATGTGTATAACAATAATATTCAGTATGGTTTTAATTTACTGATAACAAAATCAATATGCATACCAATAAAAACAATATTCAAACACATTTATTTCAAGGATTGATAAGTTTACTCGGTTCGTATCTAGCGAACGAGTTGAGATATATAATCATCGTAAGACGCTACCGAAGGAACATAACCTTCCACAACAAGGAAAATTAACAATCGTCCTTTTCGTCGTAAATTTTTGTGTAGAGTTTCTTGTGTAAAAATGAAATTATAAGTCTAGGAAAGGACAGTTATTGCTGTTCATATTTGATTCATGTAAAGTAAGTTCCTTTATGTAATTTCTTGCAATATATTAAGAGAATTCTTGATTTTTTAATGAAAAAAAAATAATCAAGATAACGTTAAGTGTTGTTGAATTATCAATTAGATGGAGTTAAGACTGGTTTTCACCGATTTTGGCCATAAACTGTGATCCATAACCACAAAGGAACAGGTCTGTTATTAAAGGGGTGCAATTGGTGCCCATAGAAATACCTACAACCTGTCCATAAATTGTATTGGCGAAACGTACATAAATGTTGCCATGGAGAAAATGTATAGCTTTTATCATCTCATCACACTCTCAGTAAGTGTATATAGCATATTTATCTTTCTCATAAAACAAAAAGGCTCCAGATTTGTCAAACGACCATTTAATTAAAGAAGAAAACTGTTGTTTAATAAGATTGTGTTGATGTCTAGTATAAAGGGTAGAAAAGTTAAAACTGTCAATCGAACCAAAAGGATCATCAAAAGCACGTTATTTATCTAAAACCTCCAAATAGATATAAGAAGGTGTGGTATTAGTGCCAATGAGACAACTCTCCATCCAAGTCAAAATTTATAAAAGTAAACCATTATAGGTCAAAGAACGGTCTTCAACACGGAGCCTTGTCTGTTTAAATGTTTAAAACTCCAAAAATATTTGATTGTAGTTAAGGAACTAGTTAAAAGCACTGAAAGATTAGTAGTTGAACACATACTAGAGGCAGAGTACTCTGTTTTAAAAAATACATATACATCTTCTTAAAAATGATAATTAATATTATCATACAGGAAAAACTGTCCAAGGTAGATATATAAATCGGATAAGAAGCCAATTTCCACAAAAGTTTTACTATGAGCAGATTTTTTTAAGGTGCATTGGTTAGCAATTACTTTGTAAACAGTAATGTGTCGCACTCCTATCACAGTTATTTGTAGTTCTCTTCATGTTAGAACGACCAGGTGTAAAATGCAATGCTCATATCCCACTATGAATACGTATACAATCCAGCATTTGTGTATAGATATAGGAAGATGTGGTATGAGTGCCAATGAAACAACTCTCCATCCAAGTAACAATTTATAAAAGTAAACCATTATAGGTCAAGGTACGGCCTTCAACACGGAGCATTGGCTCACACCGAACAGCGCTCTATAAAGGGCCCCAAAAATAACTAGTGTAAAACCATTAAAACGTGAAAACCAACGGTCTAATCTATATAAAAACGAGAAACGAGAAACACGCATGAACTACATAAACAGACGACAACTACTGTACATGAGATTCCTGACTTAGGACAGGTGCAAACATTTGCATCGGGATTAAACGTTTTATATGGTACCAAACCTTCTACCTTTTCTGAAACAATACTATAACATCACAACATAGAAAGACACACTATAAAATATCAGTTGCAAGGCTTAACTCAATCAAAAAACGTAAATTAACACACAATGAACAAATAAATTTGATCTGTGATACCTGAATGCAAATACATAGTTAATAAAAATGTATAATGGATAAATATTTAAGGTCAAAAGTTAATAAACAGGTTTGAACAAAGTTAAAGTATGATACCACTGTGAAATGTTAAACCATATTTAGAAAATCATCACTTTTGAAAAAACCTGCGTCATTATATATACACAGCTATTAATGAAAATAATTTTGTTGTTAAGTATACTTCTTCTTCTGTGTGTATAAAATCTTCCGTTAAGGAATACCAAGAAATTTCTTTAATATCAATAAAACTAATCTAACACTAGGTACATATGGGGTGAATATCAACAATAAAACTATAAAATAAGTGCTAGTTATAAACTTCCTGTACATGTGCAAGAACAGTATTTAAGGAGAAATGAAATAATTTTGATGTTCATGGTACGAAGAAGTGAAAATTTGTAGTAATACCAAATAATCAAAGCTGGTATATAGACGAGATCCATGTTTTATTATTTAATAACAAAAAAGCATTACAAATAGTATCAACAGGTCAAATTAAAAAGAAAGTACGATTGGAAAGTACTCGCAGTTACTGACAGCTAGTTAAAAGCCAAAACAATTAATAATAAAAAAATCATGCATTAGAGACTGAAATCAACTAAAACACATCCCAGGGATTTAGTATTTAACGTCATGAACAGTCAAAGAAGACATGACTTGTGCAATGCCTGTATCGACAGGTAGTAGGATAGTTAGGAGCGACTTCTTTATAGATAAAAATGAACGTGTGTGTGTCTCTATACATCCCGTTTGAAAAGAAAATACAAATTTAGTTATGTTTTAATTTGCTAATGACAAAATCGATATTATTGCCACTGTAAACTATATATAGAGATCTAATTACAACATCGGTACGGTAACCTTTACTAATAAGTTAGTTTAAAGGTTCGATGAGTTTACACGGATCACATAGTGATTTCCGCGCTTTACGTACAATATTACCGTAAAATTTAGGATGTGAAATACCATTTTTAATAGGTTTTCTACAGGTACAGTCAAATTTACTAATCAAATCTTTGTATCTATGAAAGAATTTAGTAAAAGTTTTAAGTAATTATGGTAACGAAATCCCTGACTTAATAATTTACCAGTGATGCATTGATTACGTTCGTTAAAATCTATGACATCATTACACACACGGGCATACCGAACGAGTTGGGATATATAAACACCGTATGATGGAGCCAAAGGCACATCGCCGTCTAAAAAAGAAAAATTAACAATAGGGAATGAAAAATCGTCTCTTTTTTCGTAAATTTAAGTATGGAGTTTCCCTTTAGAAATTGAAATGTCTAAATCTACAAAAGGACAACTGCTGCTGTTTATGTTAGATATAGTTAAAGTAAGTTCTTTTGGGTAAATTTCGGTAGTATATTTAGAGAACTCTGGATTATTTAACGAAAAAATATCATCCAGATAACGGTAGGTATGGTTGAATGTATCAACCAAATGTAACAATGATGTGTCTTTACTGAGTTTGTTCATAAACTGAGATTCATAGCAATACAGGAATAAATCTGTTATTAAAGGGGCGCAGTTAGTGCTCATAGGAATACCTACTACCTGACGATAAACTTTATCGCCGAAACGTACATATATGTTATCTAGGAGAAAATTTAAAGCTTCAATCATATCCTCACATTTCCAGTAAGTGTATCTAGCATACTTTCCTTTTTCGTTACAGAAAAAGGCTTTAAACAGCAAATAAATTTACAATGAGATTTTTCGAAAGACCATTTTATAAAATATGAAAACTTTTTCTTTATTAGATTGTGTGGGGGTGTAGTGTAGAGAGTAGAAAAATCATAACTGTCAACAGAATTAAAAGGACCATCAAAAGCATGTATTTTATCTAAAACCTCTAAAGAATTTTTAACACTCCAAAAATAATTAATACCATTATTTTCATAAGCTTTATTACAAAAGTTAATAACCAGTTCTTTCGTAGTAGTAAGGGAGGTAGTAAGAAGCACTGATAGATTAGTAGTAGAACACTTGACTAGGACCATCATCATCGTCGACATCATCAATAAAACCTACATCCTTATCATCAAAGAATATTATTACATTTTAATCTTTTCTTGCTTTGATTTCTTCTTTTTTCATTTATAGTTCGTATAATATGATAAATTGATCGCTTCACAAGTATTATCATCAACGATAGGAGGAAGATATCAAAATGATGAATATTCAAGTCGCTACAATCTCAAAAAACGTCATCGTCAAAAACGAAAAGCGACTCGACCAAACACAAACGACAGTTTACAAAACACAACATAGCAAACTAAGAACTAAGCAACGCAAACCCTAAAAAAACCGGAGTTTGATCCTGGATGGTCCACGAGGATAAGCAGATTTCTTTTTCGTGTTGCCTAAATGTCTTTTTATAGGGCTGCCTTATTATATTTGATTTACATAATGATTTATTTGTGGGTACATAAATAAGTGTCGAATCAAAAGTGCCACTCACAATTGAACCCGTATCATTGTTTGTAAGGTGGCAAACATATCACTGTACTCCTACTGGTTGTATTGATTGCTAATGATGAAAATATGTCTACTAGATTTTTCTCGTTTTTATATAGATTAGACCGTTGGTTTTCCTGTTTAAATTGTTTTACACTTGTCATTGTGTGGCCATTTATAGCTTGCTGTTCGGTGTGAGCCAAGGGTCAGCGTTGAAGGCCGTAGTTTAACCTATAATTGTTAATTTTTTCTACATTGTGACTTGGATGAAGAGTTGTCTCATTGGCAATCATACCACATCTTGTTATTTATATTTGTTGATGAATACTCATAACATATTTAAAATATATTTAGATATTAACAAAAGTTCCTTACAGTTTTATAACAATATATATATTACGTCTGTATATGATAAATGAAAATGGTACGATTACAATGTTAAGACAATGCAAAGGCTTGTTAAGTACAATAAAATCATCAAATAAAATAAGAACAATACACAACACCACATCGTCTACAGTTGATCGGTGTTTTTCGTTGACGCCTCAGGTTCGTTGTTCATGTTGCTTTCATTGCTAAAATAGAAACATTCATTGAAGATTTTAAAAAAATTGCATCATCATCATCATCATCATCATCATCATCATCATCATCATCATCATCATCATCATCATCATCATCATCATCATCATCGTCATCATCGTAATCATCGTAAGAATCGTTGTCGTCATCATCGTCATAATCGTCATCATCATCATCATCATCATCATCATCATCATCATCATCATCATCATCATCATCATCATCATCATCATCATCATCATCATCATCATCATCATCGTCGTCGTCGTCATCATCGTCATCATCATCGTCGTCGTCGTTGTCGTCTTCAGAGAATATTTTTCAGAATATTGACAAAGGAATTTGTAATAGATATCAATTGGTATTTAAAATCCGTCAAATTTTAATCATTTTAATTTCAAAAGTTAAATGTTGTAATTACCTATTACATTTTGATTAAATCCTTACTATATGGTACATTGCCGTTCAACAATAATATGATAGATTTACACTTTCGTATAATGTAGCTCCAAACAATTTATCAACAAAATAAGATAGTAAAATACGAGGTCATGTGCCAATCAAAAATCTAGTACACTTTTTAATATACAAGTAAAAGGCATCTCATACTTTAAAATACTTCAAGTACGCTAATAGCTGAGACACGCATAGCTTTCTGCAATGCGAAATTAGAAGTAAAAAATATCTAAAAGATGTAGAATCATTTGTATTCAATGCTGTACATAAATGCTCTTTCCTTGATAGATTTATTTAAATTCGTAGTAGTATATTAATAATACGGAAAACTGATTGTAAGCTCTTTAAAGTTTACAATTCTTGCCAGAATTTATGAAAACTTTTAAAAGACGTCTATATCAGCAATGTTTTGGACAAATTAAAAATTCAGTGTTGATCAATTAGTTTCATAAAACTGTTTTCCTTGGAAATAAAGATTATATGGAAAATTGATTTTACGCGCTCTCGTGTGTATACTTCTTGCAAGATTTTTATCGAACTCATATATGACCATGTAGACTTTTATATATGCAAAGTCTCGAACAATTTCGAAAATCATTGCTTATCAATTTCTTTTTAAAAGAGTTATGCCCCTTGGAAATATTAATTGTATGGTAAACTGCATTGCAGTGTAAGAGCTCTAATATGTACAATAGATAAGTCCTTGAATGGTAATGTAGATTTCGGTCAAAGGAATAGGGTCAACAGGCTTTAAAATGTCCCCTATGTCTACCTAAAATTTCAAACAAGGATCAATTAATTATAGGTTGCATTTCTGTAAATATCTACAATGCAATTTCCCATAGGAACTCCTTTTACGGCTAAAACTGTACCACTTTTACTATGAAGTTTTGAAAAAAATTATATCCTAGAATGGAAAGTTCATAGGCACCTATATTTTTTTCAAAGGTCAAAATATAGGGCTGTGCGGCATATTTTCAACGTTTATACGACTTTATATTGGGTGAAAAAAGAGAACATACAGAATTTAACCAAATTTGGTTTATCTCACAGATTTTAAAGAAATTAATCAAATATGAAGTTTTATAAATATTTCATGAAGATTGAGAAAATCCTGGGCCTTAACTAAGTTGACTCAGCATAAATTCACAGTTTACAGTATGCATAGTTAACTTAAAGCCCTGAATGCAAAATAAATTCATAATATATGCATATTTGTAAGTTAAATTGTTTATAAAAGAAGTGATTATATTTACTCTTCGCAGTCATTGAAACTCATAGATCCTTCCTGAATATTATTGGTGTGGTGTTTTTGTCCTGTCGATAACCCAAAAGTAAGCTGTAACGCCTAAATCTGCTTTTTTGTCACCGCTGCATCAAAAATACAAGCTTAAAATACAAAAATTTCTCAACAAAACATACAATAGTATGTTCTATCCTGAATATGTACTAAATATGCCATATTGCAAGAAACAGCAGAATAATTTAGGAAATTCGAGGCCCCAGGGGCAAAAAACAGAGAAAATTGCCTACCCCCTGGGTCATAAAACAAATAATTTAAATTGTAAATGCTATGATTTTATGATTTTAAAGGTCTTTATATAGAAAACAATAACTGTGCTTGGAAGTTATGCAAAATTTAAATGTTAGCAGTCATTTCTATAAAATTTTAAGTGAATTTATACATCAGACTGGTATCTGCATACATACAACTATTGCAAATATGGCTTTGTTTAACACTTCTAGCTCATATATTAGCTAAATTATGTCAGATATATGGTAAGAGATGATACTGTTGTGACAAGAATTCTAAACTGACCATTTGAGGCAGAAATTGTGAACTTTCATTGACAAATAGGCATACAGTAAAATGTGGACTGGAGACACATGCAGGATTTGATACTTTATATAATCTTGAATGTTTGAAGGATTGACTGCTAAGCATTACATTTACAGTATTCTTTCAATATGTTATCAGAACAGTTTTAAACAGGTTCTAGGCATTTCATGTCAGAAAACATGCACATAGGGTAAGCTGGCAATAACTAAAGTCTTGTTTTCAAATTCTTTAAAAAATTGAAACAGGGGAGGGGGTATCAAATGAACAGTAAAAGAAAACTTAGAGTTTATGCAGTGATTTCTTTAAGGCTATTATAATTCTGATAAATAAGTATTAATGTGAGAAAAAGTGTTTTTAGAGAGTTTTTTATTGGAATAAATGTTTGTATAGGTTGCACTTTGTAAAGACAGCTGTTTCTGAAACCACGCCTCTTTTGGGGAGATATAGAATATTCATAGATAACTAATTTTGTTTACATACTGGTTCCCAGTTATGATCTCTAGGTTTCATCTCATAGAGACATAACTTGGGAATGTTACCAGTAAATATACACATGCATATTGTCTATTTAGAAATCTGTGGTAATCCCACAGTCAACGTAGGGATAGTTAAGAAATTAAGTGTTAGTTTAAACTCTTCGAAGTTCGGGGCATATAAACGTTGAAAATATGCCGCACAGCCTTATATTTTGACCGTTGAAAAAATTGTAGTACATATGAACTTTCCATTCTAGGATATGATTTTTTTCAAAACTTCATAGTAAAAGTGGGACAGTTTTAGCCGTAAAGGGAGTTCCTATGTGAAATTGCATTGTCAATATTTACAGAAATGCAACCTATAGAGTTTAAACTTACACTAAAATTCTATACTACCCTTACATTGACTATAGGAGTTCCACAGACTTCAATATGACTGATAAGCATATGCATATTTACTGGTAAAAAATTGAAAACAACACGTTTAATAATTTCCGAAGCGCTTTTCTGGATTTACCTTCATCAGGAACGCTCAACGCCAAACATTTGAATGGTAACATTCCCAAGTTTTATGTTTCTACGAGATATAACATAGAGATCATAACTGGGAACTAGTACGTAAACAAAATTAATTATCTATGAATATTATATATCTCCCCAAAAGAGGCGTGGTTTGTGAAACATTTACAAAGTTCAACCTTAACAAATATGACAAAGGTTCATAGCTTTTACAATTACAATATATTTATCTTTTTGTTGAAAATCTACGTTCTTTTTATGGCGTCACAAATATCACAAACTTTGTTTACAGTCCACTTAAAGCAAAGCGCATTCATTGACAACAAAATCAGTAAACATAATGTATGATATAACATTTCACATATGAAGTCTGTGCTCTGTTTGCCTCTACCTCTAATACATGTTTGCTTACCGGGTCTGTTTTTTATCCATAAACCATTTAAGTCTGCAAATGTAAGTAAAATTGGTTATAATATACATTCAAACTACATCTTATCTTAATTTCTTTCAATATTTTTATATTAGTTGAACCTAACATACATCCTTTTAATAGTGTGTTCAAAATGTATACATTTTATTGATAAATTAAATATAACTGTAAATAAAATAAGAGGACAAACAACACAAGATTACTATAGATTTAGGAAAACGGACATCATCAAATACTGGTATTGAACTCATAAGTTCGGGAATGGTACGTTGTTCCTTCTCATGTTACTTACTGCAAGTTAAGTCGTATTCGAAGTTAAATTAGTGCCTTTGGCCCGCAACAGATAGTGCCTACAGAATATGGAATGTTATCTTCAATTAACCAAACGTAAGTTATTTATAATAGAGATAAAAAAAATAGAGAAACGGGATAAACTTACCTTCTATCAAGTGCCGTTGTTGCTTCTAAATTCCCATGCCAAATCTGTATACTGAATGCCAGTCCTGTTGAGCAGTAACTTGCAAAATGTTCACAATTAAATTTATAAAGGTGATACTTAACACCACAGCTTTGGAAAAGGGGAAACAGTGATTCTGCTCTTTCCTTGATAATTTTATGCTTAAAACAAAAAATTGTGTATTCATAGTAGAAAAGGTTTTTGGTTGTGAACTTAATGCTAGATTTTACAACTTTTGGCTCAAGAGAGCTGCGTGATAGTGCGGGAAATATATTGACAGACGAACCAGGAGCCGTTAATTCAAATATTTCGAAAGTTTCAGTGATATCACAAATGTTTGTGACTATACCATGATGCTTGTATATGAAGCCCTTTCGTCCAAATAGCCTCATTTTCCCAACTGCAACCTCCAGTCCAATCTTTAGATGTTTCTTAACGTCTAGTTTTATCTCTCTTTTGAAACCCTTCTGAAAACAAATAAAGATGTAAAATAACATACTTGAATTGCTATTTTGTAGTAAGGAAAGATTGTGTAATAGAGTCTGACTTGAAAAAATATATATGCATTGTTTGTTTCTAAGCATTACGACGGAAACAGAAAGTTGTAACATAAATATTTAACTTATATAGATTCCTAAAAGCAATTTAGTCTTAAAAGAATCATTTTGAAAAAAGATAGTATATAAAAATATGTTCAAACCATAACACGAAATTAAATATAAAAATGGGTCAAACATCATAACGCTCTTACAGGCTCATACAAATAAGAAGATGTGGTATGAGTGCCAATGAAACAACTCTCCATCCAAGTCACAATGTATAAAAAGTTAACAATATAGGTCAAAGTACGGCCTTCAACACAGAGCCTTGGCCTACACCGAACAGCAAGCTAGAAAGGGCCCCAAAATGACTAGTGTAAAACAATTCAAACAGGAAACAAACGATCTAATCTATATAAAAAACGAGAAAATAGAAACACTTATGAACCACGCCAACTAACAACAACCACTGAACAACAGGCTCCTGACTTATAATTATTTATTAATTTATCATGTCTATTGCATACGTAACTAATCTTATATCTGTATAACAATAATATGGACTCGTCCAGTGTCCAGTTTGAAAGTCATTTAAGTTACTGTACACAAACCTATACACGTTTGTGTACATGAAAAAAGAAAAGCAATTATAAATCAGTTTTAATACACATTTTTTAAATACTATTTGTTGTACACTTTTAGGTTGATGACTTTATAAACATTTCAACAGTTTAAAGGTAAATCTGGAACATAATATAATATTCCCAGGGTTAATCAATAATAAATTGATCCAATCAACTTGCGTAATATTCAATAACATTGATCAGTCCACTTCATATAAACAATAGGGGTAATCTAGGTAGGGAGAAAATGACAGATGTCTTAAGTTCATGTTTTTGTAAAAATATAAATTTGTAAACCAAAAGTTTTCCTATGATTACAAAAACGTTCTGTATTGGTTTAGTTTTCTGATCTTTTATTTGCGCATTTAATGCAATAGAAAGTTTTGGGCTTCAAAAGTCTACATAATTATTGACTTCATACAGAAAAATCATTTTAAAACATTTATTGTTTCACAAATAATGCATGGATCTAAATAAAATCATTTCTAAAAACTGCAAAACAAATTTATTCTGATTGGTTTAGTAGTATTGTCATAAAGTGCGTAGTATAGCAAACATCGAATTCCCTCACTAAATGTTATCAATCACTATATGATTGTTTTAACTGTGCTTTATTGTCTTACATAACTCACCCGTTTAAGATCCATAGTTATGTCTTCGTGAATAAAACCCTACATGAAATATAAAATAATAATTTGTATTAATTCTTTAGCAGTATTTTGCACAAATATATATTTAAGAATAAATTACTCAGCTCTACTTGCATAACATGAAAATTTGCATAGTAGCCTGATGATTAATTTTACCCAAAATGACATCTTATTTCTGCTGCAGCTTACATAGAGAAATTAGAGTACTGAAGTTACTTAGAAACTGAGTTATTTGAACACAGAATACGGATATTGTGTTATTGAAATTTCAAAATCATTTAAAATTAAGATATTCATCTCTCTCAGGCATAGCTCAGATTCCTTTGTTCGGGTTGACCTTTACCCGTTATAATCATCATATTTGTTTTTAAACCTGACTTTATAGATTATTTGCATTGTTTTTATCTTATTTGTTTCCCTGGGTATTCATTTGTTTCTTGTATAAATCTTTCACTAACGATTTAAATGGCTTTGATGTCCTCTCACATATTTAACAATCATTTAAAAGAATAAAATATATGATTTATTTGTATTTGTCTCTTACCTCTTAATTGAAATTCTATTGAGTAATGTAATATTGAAGAAATAATAACTATATAATCATCTTTATTTATAGGTTAGGATGAAAAATTTGCATCCAAAAATACACTATGGATTTCCACCTGTGTATATGCTATAAAAAGCATCTACTTGTAAGTACTCTTATCTTAAGTACTCATAAAGTGTCGGTATATATTGATTGAAGTAATATAAGAAACGATTATTGTTAAATATATTGACAAGTACTTTGGCGTGTAAAATTAGAGATATTTTATATCGAAATGGCTGTTTTGATGTATAAATGATACTGGATTATTTCTACACGAATTCAGAGAAATAGTGAACAATAATGTTGGGACCGAACTGATGGCCATTTTGAAAAATCATCGAAATGTTATTTTTTTTTATTTATTTATGATCCATATGGCTTGTTATTCTATTAGATCGTAGAGTGAATTATGTGTACAAATCGTTCATTTGCAAATACTGTCTCTCTTCTCATAGCTTATGTTAATCAAAATAACACACATTTGCGAGGGAAATGTTGAACCAAGCATTTTTTAACCATTAACATTTTTTTTATCTTGAAGTATGATACTCTTAATTTAACGACAAAATTCACATTTTTTGAAATTAATAAATGACTATGCAATCAACAAATTGTCTACTTAGAGATTTGCAACCAAAGAGGCTAAAATGTATGGACCAATAGTATGAATAAAACACCCGGGAGATAAAAAATCAAATGTTTTTGGAGGTGGTACAGAAAGTAGTATTTCTTATTATGATTTGTATAAAAAAAATCACAATAGCAAACAAACGTTTCTCTTCTTCACTTATGAAACTGAATTATTTCAATGACAAACAGACTTCAACCAAAAAATAATTTCCTATGAAAATATACATTTTAATCGGAGTACCTGATATCATCCCTTATTTATGGGGCTGTGTTGTTTCGTAGTTTTTTTTTATGTGTGTTGTATACTTTTGTTTGTCTTTTTTGTCCTTTTCTTTTCTTTTTTTGTCATAGAGTTTGTTTTTTTTCTATTTTCTACTAATGAATTTTAATGTCCCTTAGGTATCTTTGGCCTCTCTTTATTAAGAAATACATTCTCTAGAAAGAAAAAAAAACAGTCAAAAAGCGTTCCTTTGCAAAACGATTAAAAAAGAAAAGTTTTTGATAGTTTGAATTCTAGTGAAAATTATTCATGCATAACAATTGAATATGTATTATTTCAAATGAAGAACCGTTTTGTATAGTCTGTTTCTTTGGTTGATAAATAATTCAGTTTCATAAGTAAACAAGAGATACGATTGTTATCTGGTTTGTTTTTCTTATACACATAATGATAATGCGATAAGAGATATTTCTTTCTGTACCACTTTCAAATATTGTTTGATTATGTGTGCAGTCCTCTGAAATAAAATTTGTAGAATTTAAAAGAGTTTTCAGCTGCCACTCATTTACAGGTTTCCTTATCCTTGTGGAAATTCCTATTTGTTTATATAGTAGTTTAAAACACATTGAAGTTTCAGTGGCCTGAACTAGTGTCGATTTAATTCGAACAGGAAATTCGTATTAATATCTTTGACAACTGACATATTTCTTCGAACACTTATTATACTTATGACGTCAATACATAGGATATATTATATCTTGTTAAAAAGAGTACATATTTGAAAAAAAAGAGAAAGGACGTAGATTTGTGACGTCTATGATGCAATATAGAATAAAACACAGATAGACATAGATTTGAGGCTTACATATAGATACAGAATATCAATTTAAGAGCTATTATATGAGCTGAAAGGCTATCTAACTTATTATAAAAAACAAATAGCGTTTTTATAATGTCGTAATTTGCATCTAACATAAATGTTAAAAATAATGTTTGGACAGTCATTCATTAGTCAGAAGTAATTGTGGAATTATTCATCATTCTTAAAAAATTTTCATGTGTATTTTCCTGTTAATAACCAGTTAGTTTTAATATTTGTGAACACCAAATTCGAAAATGTTGTATACAAATATTAAAACTAACTGGTTATTAACAGGAAAATACACATGAAAATTTTTTAAGAATGATGAATAATTCCACAATTACTTCTGACTAATGAATGACTGTCCAAACATTATTTTTAACATTTATGTTAGATGCAAATTACGACATTATAAAAACGCTATTTGTTCTTTATAATAAGTTAGATAGCCTTTCAGCTCATATAATAGCTCTTAAATTGATATTCTGTATCTATATGTAAGCCTCAAATCTATGTCTATCTATGTTTTATTCTATATTGCATCATAGACGTCACAAATCTACGTCCTTTCTCTTTTTTTTTCGAATATGTACTCTTTTTAACAAGATATAATCTATCCTATGTATTGACGTCATAAGTATAATAAGTGTTCGAAGAAATATGTCAGTTGTCAAAGATATTAATACGAATTTCCTGTTCGAAGTAAATCGACACTAGTTCAGGCCACTGAAACTTCAATGTGTTTTAAACTACTATATAAACAAATAGGAATTTCTACAAGGATAAGGAAACCTGTAAATGAGTGGCAGCTGAAAACTCTTTTAAATTCTACAAATTTTATTTCAGAGGACTGCACACATAATCAAACAATATTTGAAAGTGGTACAGAAAGAAATATCTCTTATCGCATTATCATTATGTGTATAAGAAAAACAAACCAGATAACAATCGTATCTCTTGTTTACTTATGAAACTGAATTATTTCTCAACCAAAGAAACAGACTATACAAAACGGTTCTTCATTTGAAATAATACATATTCAATTGTTATGCATGAATAATTTTCACTAGAATTCAAACTATCAAAAACTTTTCTTTTTTAATCGTTTTGCAAAGGAACGCTTTTTGACTGTTTTTTTTTCTTTCTAGAGAATGTATTTCTTAATAAATAAAGAGAGGCCAAAGATACCTAAGGGACATTAAAATTCATTAGTAGAAAATAGAAAAAAAAAAAACTCTATGACATAAAAAGAAAAGAAAAGGACAAAAAAGACAAACAAAAGTATACAACACACATAAAAAAAAACTACGAAACAACACAGCCCCATAAATAAGGGATGATATCAGGTACTCCGATTAAAATGTATATTTTCATAGGAAATTATTTTTTGGTTGAAGTCTGTTTGTCATTGAAATAATTCAGTTTCATAAGTGAAGAAGAGACACGTTTGTTTGCTATTGTGATTTTTTTTATACAAATCATAATAAGAAATACTACTTTCTGTACCACCTCCAAAAACATTTGATTTTTTATCTCCCGGGTGTTTTATTCATACTATTGGTCCATACATTTTAGCCTCTTTGGTTGCAAATCTCTAAGTAGACAATTTGTTGATTGCATAGTCATTTATTAATTTCAAAAAATGTGAATTGTGTCGTTAAATTAAGAGTATCATACTTCAAGATAAAAAAAATGTTAATGGTTAAAAAATGCTTGGTTCAACATTTCCCTCGCAAATGTGTGTTATTTTGATTAACATAAGCTATGAGAAGAGAGACAGTATTTGCAAATGAACGATTTGTACACATAATTCACTCTACGATCTAATAGAATAACAAGCCATATGGATCATAAATAAATAAAAAAAAATAACATTTCGATGATTTTTCAAAATGGCCATCAGTTCGGTCCCAACATTATTGTTCACTATTTCTCTGAATTCGTGTAGAAATAATCCAGTATCATTTATACATCAAAACAGCAATTTCGATATAAAATATCTCTAATTTTACACGCCAAAGTACTTGTCAATATATTTAACAATAATCGTTTCTTATATTACTTCAATCAGTATATACCGACACTTTATGAGTACTTAAGATAAGAGTACTTACAAGTAGATGCTTTTTATAGCATATACACAGGTGGAAATCCATAGTGTATTTTTGGATGCAAATTTTTCATCCTAACCTATAAATAAAGATGATTATATAGTTATTATTTCTTCAATATTACATTACTCAATAGAATTTCAATTAAGAGGTAAGAGACAAATACAAATAAATCATATATTTTATTCTTTTAAATGATTGTTAAATATGTGAGAGGACATCAAAGCCATTTAAATCGTTAGTGAAAGATTTATACAAGAAACAAATGAATACCCAGGGAAACAAATAAGATAAAAACAATGCAAATAATCTATAAAGTCAGGTTTAAAAACAAATATGATGATTATAACGGGTAAAGGTCAACCCGAACAAAGGAATCTGAGCTATGCCTGAGAGAGATGAATATCTTAATTTTAAATGATTTTGAAATTTCAATAACACAATATCCGTATTCTGTGTTCAAATAACTCAGTTTCTAAGTAACTTCAGTACTCTAATTTCTCTATGTAAGCTGCAGCAGAAATAAGATGTCATTTTGGGTAAAATTAATCATCAGGCTACTATGCAAATTTTCATGTTATGCAAGTAGAGTTGAGTAATTTATTCTTAAATATATATTTGTGCAAAATACTGCTAAAGAATTAATACAAATTATTATTTTATATTTCATGTAGGGTTTTATTCACGAAG